ACTTCAAACAGCGCCCTGTCTGTGGCTTTCTGCAGTTTATAAGAGAAGCCAGGCGTTCTGTCCAGAGTCCACATCAACAGCCACCACTTTAGTGACCAGATAGCCCACATCTGCTGAACGAGGAACCATCTCAGCCACCAGAGAGCCTCCAGTCTGCACCGGGTACAGAACCTGAGGAGGGTTGTCGTTCTGGTCCTGAATCATTACTTTCACGGTCACGTTGCTACTGAGTGGAGGGGAGCCTCCATCCTGCGCTTTGACGCGGAAGTGGAAATCTTTGATCTGCTCGTAGTCAAAAGAGCGCACAGCATGGATGACTCCACTATCAGCACTAACGGACACATAAGAGGAGACTGGCACTCCGTTAACAGAGGAGTCCTCCAATATGTAAGAAACACGGGAGTTCTGGTTCCAGTCAGCGTCTCTGGCTTTCACTGTGAATATAGAGAGACCTGGTGTGTTATTTTCTACAATATAGGCCTCATATGAACTTCTCTCAAATACAGGCGCGTTATCATTAACATCAGAGATCTGTAAAGTGAGATTGACGCTGCTGGAGAGGGAGGGGACTCCTTCATCAGAGCAGGTCACAGTTACATTATATTTAGAAGCGACCTCTCTGTCTAATTTACTGTCTGTAACGATGCTATAGAAGTTACTCGACGTAGGTGTGATTAAAAATGGGATATTTTTATCAATTACACATCGGACCTTTCCGTTTTCTTCAGAATCAGGATCATTTACACTCATTGCAGCTACCACTGTGTTGGGAAGTATATCCTCTCCTATTACATGTGAGAATGAAATCATATTGATAACAGGATTATTATCATTTATATCACCTACATCAATGACTATTTTACTTGAATCAGATAAACCACCTCTGTCAACTGCCTCTATATCTATCTCATACTTTTTGGCTTTTTCATAATCTATTGGCCCATTCAATATAAGAAGACCGTCGTCAGTAACTTGGAACAATTTTGAAATGCTCCTCATACTGTTTCCAATTACGTAGGTAACTTCTCCATTAGAGCCTTTGTCCACATCGGAGGCACTCACTTTTGTAATGAGTGTTCCCGCAGGGGAGTTTTCTTTTACACTTGCTTTGTAAACGTTTTTCGTAAAAACTGGAGCGTTATCATTTGCGTCTAACACATTAATATGAATCTGCATTGTTCCAGACCTATGCGGTTCTCCTCCATCAATAGCCGTTAACAATAATGATGCGAATTCCTGCTTTTCCCTATCCAAAGGTTTCTTTAAAATCATTTCTACCTTTTTACCACCATCAGACTGACTATGCAATTTAAGCTCAAAATGATCATCGGGCTTGAGCGTATAGCTCTGCAGACCATTCTGTCCTATATCGGCGTCTATTGCTTTCTCTAGCATGAACTTAGAGCCAACAACAGCAGTCTCGCTTATTTCAAACCGCCTCTCTGCCTTTTCGAATACGGGAGCATTGTCGTTAATATCTGTAATTTCGACAGTAATCGGGAATATTTCTATTGGGTTTTCCAAGGCAATTTGAAAATGCAGAGCGCAAGGCGTTGTCTGACCGCAGAGGGCTTCGCGATCTATTCTCTCTTTGATAATGAGGAGTCCTTTTTCCTTGTTAAGCTGGACGTATTCCGCACTGTCTCCTGTGTGGATGCGAGCTTTTCCGGCTTGTAATCGTTTAACATCCAATCCTAAATCGTGAGCTATGTTACCGACCAAAGACCCCTTTGCCATCTCCTCTGGAATTGAGAAGCTGACCTGGCCGAGCGCCGAGCTGAGAAACAGGACCGAGAAAAACAACAGTACTTGCCGTCTCATTGTTCTGTCAGGCTCACCCGTCAAATCAAATATAACGCCCTCCCCTCCCTTAAACGAGCGTTACCGATGCAAATAGAATTGCTGTTTAATCAAAAATTAACGACGAAATGGTTCCAGCTTGATATTCCGTGTTTCATCCACGACCAACAGTGCGCTATGCTTCGGAGTGCTCCGCTTGTGACACTACAGGGGATGTCTTAAATAAAAACAAATGTGAACGCCAAGATGCTGGTCAACAGCGGCCCACTGAGTTCAGAGGACGAAATCACATGATATGAATAAATTATAATATTGGTCTCATTATTACCTGCGTTGACAATTTATAATAAAACACTTAGAAAAAGAATATTGGTATAATTTACGGTATTATTGGCAGATTAACAGCCAATAATCACTGGGTGTATGCCAATAAAAAGTGTCCCAAGACAAGCATCAGCAGTGTGAACAAACAACAACAGAAATAAGACAGAAACTCAATATTGTGTTTCAATTTAAAGACAAAGAGAATGGAGGACATGCTCTTTCCTTTCTATTTGAATGAAATAGAATGGACAGAACATTGCACAGTAAATAAACCCAAGAGTCTGGAGGTTATAGTTTCAAGATCCTAACCTCTAGAGGAGAGTCTGGTTCATCCAGGATGTTCTTCTCACTTTGTATCCGCTGCATCGTCCCTGTAGAACTGGGGTCCATTATCAGCACGTTCTGACTACCGACTGTGCCGAACTTACAGTCACTCTTTCTGGAGTCATTCGTCCTGCACACCTCGTAGTTGTACACGTGTGGGAGAGTCCCTGTCCCCAGAGTGTCTGAGTAACGTGGTGGATAATACGGAATCACAGGGAGATTGGAGTGATACAGGACGCGAGACTGTCTCCACCTGTAGATCTTCACCGATATAATAACCACTAAACACGTGATGAAGAGGAAGGAAACTACAGCCAAGGCCAACACTAAGTAAAAGGTCAGGTTGTCATTGTACTCCTTGTCTTGTG